GGGGAAGGAGTGACTTCATAGTGGGAAAACCTGGCAAACATCCCCTTCACCAAGTGAGGAAGGTTGACCTCACCAGCAATGTTGTGTGGTCGCACGTAACCCCTGGTAGGATGTGATGAGAAGGGCACGTCGCCTCAGTGGTGTTCTTCCCAAAAGCCCATAATCCAAATCCCTGAAGCTGACATAAATGGGTTTGGGAAGAAGTAAGTTTGTACCCTTTTTTATGAGAAAGAGGCACACAGCGAATTAAGATAAAAACAAACAAATCCCAATTTGAGGAACTTTTTACAAATGTATTTAACCAGCACTCATGAAAACTGTTAATGAAAAATAAGGAAAGACTGAGAATCTGTCACAGACCAGAGCATACTAAGGAGGTGTCACAACTAAATGCAATGAGTGTCCTGGATTAGATTCTGGAAAAGAAAAAGGACATTAGTGGAGAAAGCGGTAAAGTCCAAATCAAGTCTGGAGATTAGTTACTAGAAATGGATACACAGTAATAATATTGATTTCTTTAGTTTTGATTAAGTAATGTTAAGATGTTAACCTTAGGGGAAACTGAACTTGGGTGAGGGGTGTACTCTCTGTAGTATCCTTGCAACTTTTTGTAAATCTGAAATTATTACCAAAAAAATATTTATGAAGAATAACAGAGTTTGGGGAAGACTAGATGATACCACACCTGAAAGCACATTGTGAGCTCATTGTTGATTGGACAGAATGAAATGTAGTGATTAAGGAAGCTTATAAAATGTCCAGTTTCCTGACTGTGATTCTTTTGCTAACCTTACCACCTGAGACCATCTATTCAAAGAGATGCCAGGTATTTTATTTGACACCCAATGTTTAAAAAGTAAAAGTAAATTCCTGAGGTCAGCTTGTTAATTTCTCAGTGAAACAAGAATCTGTTGTGTGCCTCTTTCTCATAAAAAAGAGTGCAAACTTACTTCTTCCCAAACCCATGTATGTCGGCTTTCTAGGGGTTTGGATTCCCTGTGCATACACGCCCCGCCAAACACACACCTCCACACACTCAGCATCTGGTTCTTGCAGAAACCAGGTTCAGCATGGGTAAAGCCATTTCAAAGTCTGGGGTGCTTTCCTAAGGCAGCAGGTCTCTCTCATAGTAGTTTAAGTGGGCTGAAGGTCCCATGGAAATATGGAGAACCTGTCCCCACAGAGGGCTTACATTTTGCATATAATTCTGTTTTAGTGAGTGGCTCCAAAGTGGCTGAAGTAAGTCTGAAGTGTGCCTTTGGGTTGTTGGCAAGTGTAGCATGTCCCTCCAGCACAGCTGTGGTTAGGGAGGGGATCTCTTTAAAGCTATGAGGTCTGCCTTATAGCTGATCTCAGGGTTAGGGGACCCAGAGGGGTCTGGGAAACCTGGGAAAACCCTTGAACTTCTTTAACTTTCAAATTCCTCATTTGTGAAACAACTACACACCTAAGAGCATTGTTAAATGAGATCATGCATGTAAAGTGCAGATGCTGGCAGGCCGTCAATAACTGTATGCTCCTGTGGTTTCCATTATTATCCACATACCAAGTAAGCACGCGCCTGGCAGGATGGAGGGACGAAGACAGGCTAGATGCAGCTGCCTCCCCGCGTGCTTACAGCCTAGTCAGGAAATCTACGCAACTGTAGTATCTCGGCATCTCCATGCCTCGCTTTCCTCATCCATGCGATGTGGACAACAGTACCTACTCCTTAAGAGTAAACGAATCGATACATATGAAGCATTTGGGACAGTGTTAGCACATTATAAGTGCTTATTTTACAATGATTACTGAGAGGAGAGTTAACATTTTGCTGGGAGAGTTAGGGATTATTTTACAGAGAAGGTGGCCACGAAGGCAAACTTGAAGGGTGGGCATGGGGTTGGTGAGGCTGTCTGGGTGGAAGGAGGGATTAAGACCAAAGGTGCGGGGTGGGAAGGTTGGAGTGGGCTTGCGGGAGAGCCCATCACCCACTGCTGGGCCACAGCACGGGATTCACAAGACTAAGAGTGGAAGACAAGTCGGGAAAGGCTTTTGGAGAGTCCTGAAATGCTAAGTGAAAATTTGTACTTAATTGTGTCGGCAGTGTGCAGATCCTAAGCTGGAGGAAATAACAGGACCTGAGGTATGCATAGGGAAAATTAGCTAGGCCATGACACAAGGGAAACCAGAATTTCCATCAGTGATGCAAATGAGAAGCTAGTGGCACTTCATCCATTCATTCAGTCGACGAATATTTCTTTGGCATGTATGAGGCACCATCCTAGGCATTGGATATACAGTGGCGAACAAGACAGGGTTTCCTCCTGGAGGTTAGAGCCTATTGGAGGGGTAGACAGATGGGCAATTGCACAGGTGTGAAAAGAGCGAGTTAGATGAAGGAAGGCACAGGAGCTATGACAAGGAGTGTCCGATCGCAGTCATCTCCCTGAAGAAGCAAGGTGTCAGCTGAGACATGAAGGAAGTGGAGGAATCACCTGGAGGAAGGACAGAGGGAGGAACTTCTGATCATGCAAAGGGCTAAGGTGGGGTGACAAGATCACATTCATCTTACAGAAAGGCATTTCTGGCATCAGTGTGGAAACTGTTGGGAAGAGAGCAAGAGCAGATGTGGTTGGACCAGCTGGGAAGCTACAGCAGGAGTTATGCTAGAAGATGACTGGGTGGACACTGCATGTGGTGATATTGTACACCCCAAACATGGATGGATCTCGCAGACAAAAGAAGCCAGGCACGAAGGAGCACATACTGTGTGAGTCCATTTATGTGAAGTTCAAGAACAGAATTTTATATAAATGAACTAATCTGTGCTGATGGATTTCAGAATAGTGGCTACTTTGGTGACTACTGGCCAGGAGGGACATGAAGCCTTCTGGTGGGCTAGAAATCGTCTACGTGTACATCTGTGTTTCACCTGCTTTCGGCAGGCAGGTCATTCTAGCTACTAATTCATACATTCTATGTAGGAGTGATTTGTATGCCCTGGAAATGAAAAAGGTCTGCTGTGTATCATTTTTTAAAAATATATGCTCAAAATATAATATTCAGGGGGAAAAGTAGGGTATAAAACTGTATAAACATTATCATGACTTTCAAAGGAGTTATTAATACAATATAATTTATTTTAAAAATTAAAAGGAAAGCAAGCAACGTTCTAATACGGGTGGTTTCTCGTGGTGGGATTTCAGCTGACTGCTACGAGGAACGCCCCAGAGGAGTTGCAGAAACACTGATAACGATGGTTACAAGCCCACCCAAGCTCTCTGATCAGAACAGGGTTGGGAATTGGTTTCCTCCACTGTGAAAAAGGGGTTTTAATGACGCCTGCATCCCAGGGTCGTTTGGGGTGTCAATGAGATGAAGCATAAGCCTCTTCACCCAGCGCCTGGCACACGGCGCATGCTCGGTAAGTGCCAGTTGTTGCCACTGAAGAGAACCTCAGAGGCAGAGGCGCGCGAAGCTGTCCACGTTTACACTGACTGTCCCTCTTTTCCGGGTCATCTGCAGAGACGGGCGCTGGTGAAGGGGATTTGATCTGGAGGGTGAAGGTCCAGAACAGCCCCCAGGGGAACGTGGAGGGGGTCCCCCAGGCAGCAGCGCAGGCCTGCAGCAGCGCTGAACACCCAGCCTTGGGGAGGCTGAACGTTTCAGCATGAAATCCTCCAGTTCCCTCCAGACAGAGAGGACGGTGTTACGGAGTTGGAATTGAAAAGGCGGTTGGGATGGGAAGACAAGCAAATGAAATTTCAGGAAACCAAATGGGATAGTTTAAAGTTGAACTTTTTGTGACTGTGTATAGCTGTGGGCGCAGTGTATGGATGAAATGATGTTTATTGAAGGAAATCACAAAAGCCCCTATCACTTACCTTCCTACACAGAGACACGTTTCCTCCCTGCAACATCAGTGAATATTGTGATACTATATTCACATGCTACTTGAACACATGAAAAGTTTTTTTTTTTTTTAATTAAAATGAACTCTTCTAGAAACCAGTGGAGCCCACAGCTCCTCAGGTGGAATTAGGGGAAATTTAATTGGTACTTAGTCAATGGTCAAGGAAGCATGACATACATACGTATCCCAGGCATTTGCATAACTTTCTTCCTGCTCAAGCAGACAGGCTTATGATATTTAATATTATCAGTCAGCAAAATCATGATTATTGGTTAGGCCACAAAGTACTAAAAGTGCCATTTTAACATGAATAAAAAAGAAATTACAGTTAAAATAGAAACCTGGTTGTGTTATATACAGAAAAACTACAATTCTGAAAAATGAGGCATAGAATTTTTTTTTTTTACAGAAAGCTTCCAAAAATCAATATTGTGAGGCCTAACTGGATTTAATATCATGCTCTCACCCAGAGTACGGGGAGGGAATTGTGTCAACATTCTCAGCCTTGTCTCTGACTGCAATCCAATTAAAAGTTGCCTGGAATGATATAATGCACACAGGGTATTCTGAACAACTATCTCTGAATAATAATGATGTCAATAATAATTATATAAGCTATCATTTTTCTTAATACTTTTTTAGGTAGCAGGTATTGTACTGAGCATTTTGTATGTACTGGCTCACCTACTTCCAACGATAAACCAATGTTGGAGGTATTTGACCATAACCCATTGTATGGGTAAGAATAACAAAGCTCAGAGCAGGGGGTGACCAGCTGCCCAGGTTTGCTCTTGCTTGATTTTTAGGTTGTAGAGAGGGACTTAAATCTCTGTGCTGTTTGGCTGATCAGATTTCCTAACTACTGCCAGCCCAGCTCAAAATTACAGTCCGCAATAGATGAACAGCAAAGACATTCTTTGGTGGCCTGGGGGAGGGATCTAGGCTGAAATTCAGGATGTTATTTCATGCGGTGTAATTGAAAATGTCGTCTTGCCGTTCCCTGTCCCCAAACCACTGAGCAAGTGAAGCTGAGCCACCTTTCCTAACATTTCCAAAGGGCTTGCATGTCACCTGAAACTGCTGTTCAGAGTGAAAACCCACTCACCTTGGGAAGCGGGTAGAGATGACACAAAGGTTGGCCGGTGTCCTGTTTACAGAACTCCAGTGTGTGACACACCACATCAGCATTCATATCTGCGCTAAGCCTGGAGGGAAATGGGACAAAACAAAGGCTGTTCACATCTCTCAGGCATTGGAAAATAGAAGCTATTTCAAAGGAAGGTGAAGGCCCGGAATGGATTCTAATATCCTCCACTCCTCATTGCAGCATGGCCTCTGAGCCCAGGCCCGTGTGGCTGCTGGATCCTAACGATTTCCTGCCACGTTGTTGTCGCCTACATTTAGAATAAAGTCCTGGGGGTGGGCAGGGGGCACACACAGCACTGAGCTATGGGCAGCCTCGCACATGAGCTCTGTGATTCTTTCCAGAAGCCACAAATAAAACTGGGAAAGGAAAAATGGACAGAGGTGTAATTAGATGGGAACAATATATTTATTTCTTTTAGAGACAGGGTCTTGCTGTCTCTAAGGCTGGAGCAGCAGTGGCACGATCATAGCTCACTGTAGCCTTGAACTCCTGGGCTCAAGTAATTCTCCTGCCTCAGCCTCCCAAGTAGCTGGTACTACAGGTGCATGTCACTGTGTGTGGCTAATTTTGTGTTGTTTTTTTTTTTTTTTTGGTAGAGACAGGGTCTTGCTATGTTGCCCAGGCTGGTCTTAAACTCCTGGCCTCAAGCATTCCTCCTGCCTCAGCATCCCAAAGTGTGTGTGAACCACCACACCTGGCCAAGAACAATATTTTGAAGTTTGCTGAGACTTATAGTGAAAAATCATTTATGACATAGTCTTAAACATCTAAAATTATTTTGTTAGTCATAATCCAAATCATCTCTTCCACCTTAAAGTAAACATATTTCTTATCCTTGCAGAAGAAAACACAATAAAGTTGACTGACTTGTTTCTTTCTCGGGGGATGGTGTACAGTTAGTGCCCTTCAAACATTTTGGTTTATGTCTAGATTTGAAGGGGCTAAAAAACAAACCTTCCGTATCCACTTTCTCTTTGCCAACCCTAAAACTCCTCTTACCAAGAAAAATGAGTTTAATGTGCTACTTTGAAGAAGGAACAAGTAAAGTATGAACTTTTAGTACATTTTCCAGGCAAATTATTGACTCAAACCCAAACCAAGCAACAAAAACAAAAAATCCAACAACACAGGTTGGTAATACCTGGAGACTAATCTTTGCATTACATGGAGTGATGGAGTCTAGAAAATACTTTTGCAAGGATTTGTTCCCAGCTCACATGATCACGTAACTGTCCCCCTTTGTCCAGAGGGCCAGACCCCTGGTAACTTTGTTTGCATTTCTTAACTGCTGGATCGTTGATTAAACTTCACTAGACCACTGTTTCAAGGAGGACCAATCAGATTCTCGCTTACAAAAATTTGGAATTAGCGTTAGAAAGTTCTACTTCAGTCTGGGCTAATCTCAGCCTAAGAGGAGCCATGGTGAGCTGGGACCATACTGTAGTCATTTCCTGCCACGTGGACTGGGTATCTGGACAGCTAGTCTGCAGGTCAGTGTTCTGAGGGCGGAACCCAGAGGGTGTGCAGCAAGGAAGCCCCGGGGAGAGCACATCCCTGGGTTCCTTTGGTTTCCTGGTTCTGTTTGCAGCCTCTCTTGGAGGCCTGGGTAGATTCCTGTCCTTCAGTTCCATGATATGTATGCTCTAGTTTCCGTATAATAACTCCACTCCAACCTCTCCCCACCTGTTACAATGACTGCCTCTACAACTGCTACAACTACTACCACCTTTCTTCTTCTCTCCCTGACCCTCCTCCTCTTTTTCCCTCTCCACAAGCAAGGTAAGTTGTATCTTTTTCTTTCGACTGAAGGCAGTCACAGCCCAGGTGTGGGCCAACCCTTGAGAACCACTGGTTAGCGTTGGAACATGTGGCCCCATGAGCTGGGGCCCGAGTGCAAGTCATTGAATCTGCTCCCCCATCCCACTCGTGTCTCTGTTTTATTTCTCTGATACCCATTTCACAGACATAATTAGGTGGTCCACTCCTCTAAAGGAATTATATAGCTGGATATGCAGAATAACAAATGCGATTTAGAGTGGTAAAACAAAAGCAAAAAGCAAGCAAAACAAAACAAAAACACATTGGTTTTTACTTCACGAGTAAGCAGCAGTTTTATTGGTTGCTGAATATCAAAACAGCTTTTAAAATCTCATGTTTGGCCCCTCCAAATGCTAGGAGGGGCCTTGAAAGTTTATTTCTATCATGCCCCTTCCTGTAGGAAGAACCCCCCTATTTTAATGAAAATGTATCTTATCAAAGCCCATCGGGGCAGAGGGACCACCTCAGAAATCTCCAGATATTTTGAGGGCCACCAATATGTGAAACATAAGCTGGGACCAAGGGCTCCCAAATTTCATTACCGCTGAATGAGACTCACAATGTGGCTGGCAAGATGGTCTATCAACCTTACGTGTGCACCTGAGTTAAGAGGGAAGCGCGGAGTTCTTCATGAGAGTCTGGGGTTTCTTCATGGGAGTTCAGGGGGTGGGAATGCAACTTAAAGTGTAAAAGGAGCCATCTTTTCTAAATAGCAGGACAAGCTGCTTGTTGCAGATAGAGTCCATTACCAACTAATGTCTACCAAGGGTCAGTAAATCAGGAGAGGGTGGCTGTTTTCACACATCTGTTCTCAACTTAATGGTTCATTTATTTAACTAATGGCTGCTATTTTTATGGGGGTCTGGTATTTAGTGGACTCTGAAGAGTGATAAATAGGCCTCTTCTCAAGCTTTGTTTTTAACCTGAGGCCAATACCCCATCTGTGGCAATCCAGAACCACCAGAGCTAACGTGTTGTGTGATATCCAAGACCTCTTCTCTCTTTCCCTTAAATAGAGCACAATTTCAAGTCAGTGAACTTGAACGTGGGAGTGGAGATGGGGACCACTGAGTCGGAGAGGGAGGCTGGAGCCCTGAGCTGGGAATGAAAGAGGGGAACTGGGCATGTGGTGTCTCTCCAGGGTCTTCTAAGCTAGAGATTCTTCATCAAAAGACTTAAAGTGAGAAGTACTCCTTTGGATAAAAAGAGAAAATACTGGATCATGTAAATCCACACGGGTTTAAGACCATGAGCATGTGCAAGAGGCATAAGAAGTGGCAATATAGTGCATGTACTCTGACCAACCTTGGGACAGAAGGCCTGGACTATGCACAGTTAGTGAAATCTTTAGGAAATCTTCAAACCCAAAAGAACCATTCCCACCTAACACTGTTTTCTTTTTCCTAGAGCAGCAAGTAAGGCCAAAATGGTCACATTTTTAAAAAGACTTTTTCCTTTGGGTAGATGCCTAGTAGTGGGATTGCTGGATCAAATGGTATTTCTATTTTTAGCTCTTTTGAGATATCTCCAAATTACTTTCCATAGGAGTTGTACTAATTTGTACCTTAAGAGTGTTCCAATCTCTCCACATCCAAGCCAGCATTTGTTGTTTTGGGACTTTTTGATAAAGGCCATTCTCACTGGAGTTAGGTGATATCTCATTGTGGTTTTTATTTGCATTTCCCTAATGATTAGGGATGTTGAGCACTTTTTTATACGTTTGCTGGTCATTAGTCTGTCTTCTTTTGAAAAGTTTCTGTTTCTGTCCTTTGCCCATTCTATAATAAAGACATTTGCACTCGAATGTTTATGGCAGCACAATTCACAAATTGCAAAGATGTGGAAACAACCCAAGTGCCCATCAATACATGAGTGAATTAATAAAATATGGTATATGTATGCCATGGAATACTACTCAACTACAAAAAACAATGCTGAACTAGCACCTTTTATATTATCTTGGATAGAGCTTGAGCTCATTCTTGTGATACATTCTTGGATGTACCACAAGAATACAACGTATCTTAAAGGTATCACAAGAATGGAAAAACAAGCACCACATGTACTTGCCATCAAATTGGTACTAACTGACCAACACTGAGGTGCTCACACGGTAGTAATATTCACTGGGTGCCAGTAAGGTGGGAGGGGGTTGGTGAGGATGGGTAAACCCACAACTAATGGATGTGGAGCGCACTGTATGGGGGAAGGGCATGCTTATAGCCCTGACTTGGGTGAAGCAAAGGCATTATAAGTAACTGAAACGTTTGTACCCCCATAATATTCTGAAATAAAAAAAAAGACTTTTTCTCCTGAGTAGTTTTAGGTTCACAGCAAAACTGAGAGGAAGCTACAGAGATATCCCATATACCTCCTACCTCCATACGTAGGCTCCCCCGTTATCTATACCCCCCACCAGTACATTTGGTAAAACTGGCAAACCTACAATGACACTTCATTATCACCCAAAGTGCATAGTTGACATTAATATTCACTCTTTGTGTTGTATAGTCTATGGGTTTGGACAAAGGTATGAGGACATGTATTCACCATTATAGTGTCATACAGATTAGATTGTCACTGCCCTAAAAATTCTCTATGCTATGCCTATTGATCTCTCTCTCCATCCTAACCCTGGCAATCACTGATCTTTCTACTGTCTCCATAGTTTTGCTTTTTCCAGAATGTCATATAGTTGGACTCATTCAGCATGTAGCCTTTTCAGATTGGCTTCCTTCACATAGTAATAGGCAATCAAGTTTTTGTGACTTGATAGTTCATTTCCTTTTATTGCTGAATGACATGCTACTGCATAGTTGTACCACAGACTGTTCATACTATTGGACATTATGGTTACTTATAGTCTTTGATAACTAGGAATAATGCTACTATAAATATTCATGTACAGGTTTCTGTGTAGACATAAGTTTTCAACTTAATTGGGTAAATACCCAGAAGCATGATTGCTGGCTTGTATGGCAAGACTATATTTTGTTTTGTAAAAAGCTATCAGTTTTTTCAGGTTTTTGGATTTTAGCCTTTCTATGGTATCTCCTTGCTGTTTTAAGTTGTAATCCTCTAATAGCATATAATGTTAAGCAATTTTTCATAGCTTATTTGCCATCTGTGTATCTTCTTTGGTGAGGTGTCTGTTAAGGTCTTTGGCCCATTTCTTAATCGGGTTGTTTGTTATCTTATTATTGAGTTTTAAGAGGTTCTTTTTTTTTTGGTATATTTTGG